CTAAGCCCTCTCACCCCTAATCCTACGAGCGAGCTGGATGTCCTTAGGCATGATAGTAACACGCTTGGCATGAATAGCACACAGGTTGGTGTCCTCAAATAGACCAACAAGGTAAGCCTCTGCAGCCTCCTGAAGTGCTAAAACAGCATGGCTCTGGAAACGCAGATCAGTCTGCAACCACAGAACAAACAAGCAATCAATCAAAAATGAACTTAGCAGTAAATTAAGATCATACTATTTAAAATGTATGGACAAAAAAAGCAAAGCCTACATTATCAATATACCTTGAAGTCCTGGGCAATTTCTCGAACAAGCCTCTGAAAAGGCAGCTTCCTAATCAACAATTCAGTACTCTTCTGATACTTGCGAATTTCACTGTATCACAACATTTATATAATAAGCATATAAACCACCAAGACATCGACAGAAGTCTAAGTTGCCTAACAAGTAATTGAAGTAATGGAATACTTACCGAAGAGCAACAGTACCAGGGCGGTATCGGTGAGGCTTCTTCACTCCACCAGTGGTTGGGGCAGACTTACGGGCAGCCTATATAAAGAAACTATACTAGATCAAATTTGGCTAACAGAACGCACATAGATGCACAAATTAACAAATAGGCTAGCAAGCTACACATACCTTAGTAGCAAGTTGCTTCCTGGGAGCCTTTCCTCCAGTAGACTTACGAGCAGTTTGCTTGGTACGAGCCATCTACACGCAATTACCATGAGAAAATCTCAATCGTAAAAATTTTCATAAAGAAACCCTAAAACTAAATAGCAAAGAGTAATCCATGAATTAAATTAGATTTCCATTACAATGCATCAAGTTTAAAATATAAAAGGAATCTGATTCAGAAAATAACTCCAGCCATATAGAATTTGACAGAAGCATGTAAAACATCAAGCATGATAGAAATTTTGACGTGTTGAACATCCCAAAAACTAGTCCTCTCAGGATCAATTTTAGATCCAAACTAGGTGGTGTCCTCAAATGAGATTTTGATGAATTTTGAAAAATTATAAATTCTAATGAATTTTGTGGATTTAAATATATTTTAACAAAAGATATAAGAATCTCATTAAAAATGATGAAATTTCAAATAAGTTTCTTACATATATTTTTAAGTTTGAAATCCAACCAAGTCTTTTAAAATCTCTCTGTTAATGAAATTCTCATAAATCCATGAGTAATTGAGATACCTGATTTTATCTGAGTTTGTTATATATATTTTTAAGCTTGAAATCCATCCAAATCTTTTAAAATACCTCCATTAATGAAATCCTTATAAATCCATGAGTTAAATAACTAAATTTTAAAGGATTTCATTAAAATTCATTAAAAACTGAGTTGAGTACACCTAGATTTTAATGAATGTCGTTAAAATTTATTTAAATCATTGAGGGACGCCTGAATTTAGGACATCCCGTAGGCTAAGAACCACAACTTTATTTTTTTCCTAGTGAGGGGAGAAGTAAAAATCATAAAATTGTCAAACAAAGCGACATTCCTAAGATATCAACCAACTCAAAGCCAGAAACCTAATTTTAGATCATATAAACCCCTCTTTGAACAGAACCCTGTTTAAAAAAAAAACACTCCGGGCACAAAAAAGAAATAGGAAAACAAAAAATCCGTAAAATCAAACGACTAGCACCCGTGCATCGACGGAAAACACTAATCATCAAGTGAAAAATAACCCTAAGCATACATGAAATCATTAAATCATCATCGATCAAATCCGAATCTGCGTACATATACACGCATATATGTTTAAGAAAAGCTTTGTCAATTGAATTCAAATAAATTAATACCAATTTGAAATAAAAGTATAGAAAACGCAACTCACCTCTCGAACTGAAATCTCTCTCTCTCTCGACTTCCTCTGGGCAGCGTTTGTAAAGTTTGAACCAGAAGGCGGATAACGTGTATATATAGGAGTAGAAAAGGATGGATATTAATTGTATGATCGACGGCGAAGATTTCATATCCCCAATGTGTCCCATATACAGATCCCACGGTCATTAATGCGCTAGGTTGTGTTTTCTCAACTGAAATTGACGGCCTCTATGTAAACTTAGTGGTGTGACGAGGATCGAGTAGTATCAAATCTTGATTCCTATTGGTTCAAAATTGTTAGCTTTGGAGTGTGTGTTTCTTCATTTGGTAAATAATTTGACCTGGATAATTAGCGCAAACATCCCTAACCTTTGCCCCTGGAATACACCCCTAATCTTTCATTTTAGTGGAAAATCCCCTATATGACATTTTCTTCCATTTTCTCAATAAAGCATTAAGAAATGACGAATATACACTCATTTTTAAATAAAACAAAAAGTAAAGAAGAAAATATAAATAATTAATTGCAATTATAGTTTCAATTTAAAAAATAAAAACGAATTCCAAGTAAATAATTATTAAAAAAATTAAATAGACATATGATAAGTGAGTTTTTATATGTTATATAAAATATTAAATCAAACAAATAAATAAATCTTTTACTATATTTTATTTTTTTTATTTGTAATATTTTCGACGTATAAGTTAATTTTTATCTTCTATTTCATCAACAATATCATAAATTATGTTATCTACAATTATCAATAATTCTTTGATTGCTAATGATCGACGAAGAAACAATTGATATTATTGATCCAAACTTCTCTTTTTTTATCGAAGAACTATTCATAATCTTCGATAATATAATTGATGATATTCTCGTCATTCATTTGATTTACATACATATAATATATACTAATTACAAATAAATTCATTGAAAATAAAATAGTAGATAAAAAGTAACTTATACGTCGATAATGTTATAAATAAAAGTTGAAAAATTTTACTTATTTAATTTTTTAAATAAAATATAAAAACTAATTTATAAGTCCATTTAATTTTTTAATTATTTATTTGGGATTCGTTTTTATTTTTTAAAAAATTGGGACTACAGTTACAATTAATTCTTTAATTTTTTCTTTTCTTTTTGTTTTGTTTAAAGAGAATGATATATTTGTTATTTTATAAGGCTTTATTGAGAAATGGAAGAAAATATTTTATTCCACAAAGAAAATGTCATATAGGGAGGTTTTCTGTCGAAATGAAGGTAAATGTGGGTATTACACAATAAAAGCAAAGGTGAGGGGTGATTTGTGCGAATTACCAATAATTTGAATTCTTGTCCAAAAGAAAAATGGGTGCCGCTATGTTAATATTGATTTTCTATGCATTTAAGGGTGCGTCTGATTGCATGGGTGAAAAATTGGTGGAAAAAAAAATGTTTTAAAGGAAAAAGATTTGCCTAGAAAATATTTTACAGGAAAAATGATTTCAAATGTGTTTGA